GCGAAGAGAGTCTCCAGGCCATCGAGCTCATGAAGGATCAAGTGCAAAGACGGCAAGCGCGAGAGGAAGCACAGGACGGCCTGGTTATCTTGAAGGCCGAGTATGGTTATATACCGCCAGTAAACAAGAAGCCCAAAAATGGGTTCGCGGAGCCTCGGGTGACTGATGTCACTATCCCTGTGGCTGCGCTAGTTAACCGCGGTCAATTGGTGATTCCCGGAAAGACCATCAAGGTAAGTCAAGCGATAGGCCGCGAAATGGACTTTTTTCTGGAGCAGAGTACTAATTTGTGATGTATCTAGTTCCAAATTTTGGGATTCCATGACCCTGCGCCGTTGCTGCCCAAACGATTGAAGATCTGGTATAGATTCCAGGGGCGCGATCATTTCGTCGAGGCAGGCGATAAAGAGGACATCGCATCTCCCATGCGTACACACATTATATCCACATGAGTACATCTAGACTAGACTCATCAAAAGGTCGAAGAACCTTTGTTTCCATGTAATTATAACATCTAGTCGTTCATTAGCGACTTACTATTTCGAACTCCATTCTGACGCTTTTACTCCCTCCTATATTCGTAGGACTGAATTTGGCATGTCTCCCATAGTATTTCATTCTATCCATGGGTTGTGAAATGAGCCAGTCAACCTGTGTCAAACGTCATAAAGTCTTGGCATAATGTGATACGGAATCCATACAGACCAACAATGCAGTCAGTCCCGAAAAGCCAAATGGAGCGTCACCCCATGATCTTTTTTCATCAACCACGAGTGCACAGCTCTTGAGTTGCTCACTCTTGAAATGTCGACCTCTATCGCTTCAGGACTTTTCAAGTCCCTCCCCAAACCTAAATACACTGGTGAGGAGGAGGAGTTGCCACAGCATGCGCAACCCCGTGGCCCGCGTGTGGTGGGCGCCGACCAGATTGATGAAACACAGGTTGTTCTACGGGTAAGTTGTGGATCGTTCTACTGACATATTCGCACGAGGACTAACTGATCCTATCTTCCAGAGGACCGGACCCCCGCCCTACGGAAACCGTGCAGGATGGCGACCTCGCGCCCCCGAAGATTTCGGGGATGGCGGCGCGTTCCCCGAAATCCTAGTTGCACAGTACCCCCTCGACATGGGCCGGAAGGGAAAACCGTCCAAGTCAAATGCCCTTGCCCTTCAGGTCGATGCCGAAGGCAAGGTCAAGTACGACGCCATTGCCCGCCGCGGACACGCCGATAACCGCACCGTACATGCCTCATTCAAGGATTTGATCCCACTCCGACAGCGGGTGGATATGGGAGAAATTTCCCTGGAGAAGCCGTCTGAGGAGGAGATCCAGGCCCAGATGGAGAAGACCAAGGCAGCGCTTACAACCCTGGTCGAAGGAGCTGCGTCGGCGCAGAAGCCGAAGAACGTCAAGGGCGGACAACGAGCAGAGCCGACCTTTGTCCGATACACCCCGGCCAACCAGATGGGCAACAACGGCCGCCAGAATGACCGCATTATGAAGATTGTTGAGAGGCAGTTGGACCCTATGGAGCCGCCCAAGTTTAAGCATAAGAAGATTCCCCGTGGCCCGCCCTCTCCGCCTCCTCCCGTTATGCACTCGCCGCCTAGGAAGCTTACAGCGGAGGACCAGGAAGCTTGGAAGATCCCGCCACCTGTGTCGAACTGGAAGAACCCCAAGGGTTACACCGTGCCCTTGGACAAGCGTTTGGCTGCAGATGGTCGCGGACTGCAAGACGTCTCCATCAACGACAAATTCGCCCAGTTCGCGGAGGCTTTGTTCACGGCGGATCGACATGCGCGTGAAGAGGTGCAGCTCCGAGCTCAAATGCAGCAGAAGTTGGCAGAGAAGGAAAAGGCACAAAAGGAGGAGCATCTTCGGATGTTGGCACAAAAGGCTCGCGAGGACCGCGCTGGCCCCAGCGCTCGCGCGTCGCGGGCTCGTTCCCGCTCCCGGAGTGTTAGCCGCAGTGTATCTGTATACTCGTCTAGGTCTGCTACCCCTAGCGAAGATGACGAAGCCGCCCGAGACCGTGCGGAGCAGCGCCGCGAGCGACGCCGCGAAGATGAACGACAGCTGCGTCAGTCTCGCATGGGTACAGAGCGCCGCATTCAAGCTATGGCCCGAGAACAGAACCGTGATATCTCCGAGAAGGTCGCGCTTGGTCTGGCCAAGCCTACTCAGAGCTCTGAATCTATGTGGGATTCGCGTTTGTTCAACCAGACCAGTGGCATGCAAGCTGGTTTCAATGAAGATAACCCTTACGACAAGCCGCTGTTCGCCGCGCAGGACGCCATCAACAGCATTTATCGTCCACGTGCCCAAGCTGATGTCGATGACGAAGATGCAGGCGAAGGCGAAATGAGCAAGCTTGAAAAGCCCAAGCGATTCGAGGTCCTGGGTCGCGCCAAGGAGGGATTCCGTGGTGCTGCTGAAGCCGAGGTAAGCTCCTCCATTATACGTTTTTTTTTTCGTCGCTAATAAGTTATTCTATAGGAGCGCCAAGGTCCGGTTCAATTCGAGAAGGACACTGCTGATCCATTTGGTATTGACAACATGATTGCCGATGTGACTTCGGGCCAAAAGCGTTATGGAATTCAGGAAGCTGAAGCTGATGACCGCAAGTCGAAGCGCCCGAGGGTCGACGACGACGAATGAATCCGCTTTTGTTAATCTTTCTTCCCTATATGTCTCTATGTTCTCTCCTTGTGATCTTTTCACGGGCATCGGAAAAATATCCTCAATGCATTGCGGGCGTTTCTGGCAGTGTGATTTCTACCACTATCTTGTTCACAAAGGGAAATCGAAATCGAAGCGAATTAATCGGGCTTGCTTGTGTGAAATGGGAAATCACATTTCATCTACAGCTACAAATAAAAACCATGTTGATCTATGTCTCCAAACTACTAGTAGTTTGTTACCTTTCTAATGAATGTGTACTGGATTGCTTCCGCACACGTATACAGATGCAAGATACACGTGGGTTACTACCTGGCTACATACATATGTAATACGGAGCGAAGAGGATGTCGTAATAGTGAACACCCCCCATGTATTCCGTGGGACTTTGTCAAATGGCTATAGAGCCCAAATGCTCAGCCACGACTTCAAAGAACTCGCACGAGAAAGCCTGGTTTGATTTGGTTGCGGACCTACATGGACCTCAACAATGTTGATATCTTTCGTAGGTGAGGCACCACGTCGCTACGGTACCCTCTGCCTACGCTGTCTCATGGGGTCTATGGGAGAGATGGCGGTTGAGAGGGTTGGGGAGAGGAAGAAGAGAAGAGGAGGAAATGTGGTGTGAGGCCTTTTATACCCCCAACAACACACGTACCTTCCCAAGATGGATAGGCACGGCGTTGGCCTGACTGCCTCAGGCCTCGTGATGGACGTCCCTCTGCCTTCTACATACATGTACCTAGCAATAGATAATAGAGATGTGTCAAACTTGTACACCTTCAAGCTCAGGTACCCATGTGTCTTAGATGGAATCAGGTATTAACGTTCAATTTCAATGACTGATTGTCTAAAGCAGACTACATTGACACTCGACGCCCACTCAACGCCCCACTCAGTTCTTCACCTCCTTCATATTGGGAGATAGCACACTCTCCAACCACTTGTAAGCCACAGGCAGGCTATCGGGGTATCCCATGTGCACCCGATTCTCGAAGAACCGAGTTTCCTTAGGACCACCATGCTTGAGAGGCTCAATACAGTCTTCAATCGGGACAACACCGTCATCGACGCCCTAGAAACGATCAGTTTTCTTTTCCTTTCTCGAAGCAGCTGAACCGGAATACATACGTTGAGCATAAGCAATCGGCAGTTATCCTGGTCAAGAATACCAGTCTCCACGAGCGAGAACTTCTTCTGAGCGTCCTTCACAAACTCTTGCTCATTGTCATAGCCATACTTCTCCGCCATAGCGGAAGTAAGCCTACATCATGGTTAGCATACTCCACCACACAAAACGACACACAGTCAAAACTCACTCAAACGGATACTCATGGTCATTCGCCTTAGCCAACCACTCGGGACTAAAAACAAAGTGTGACCCAGGCCCATGAGCAACAGACCCCACAAGACGGTCACGGTGCGTGCAAGAAGCCCGAATAGCATAGAAGCCACCAGCACTAAGTCCCCAAACAGCGACACGCGACATGTCAAACTCTGGCCGCCGACCCATGTAATCAAGCACGCTGGACCAGAGCCTATCGGGCGACTCAGGGTCGGCCGGATCTGCAGGCGAGTCGGCCGTCCCGGGAATTTCAACGATAACCGTCGCCCAGCCGCGATTGATGATCTCATGGGAGCGCTGGCTGTTATCAGGTCTGTAGCCGTCAAGCCCGGTCATGAGCAGCACGACGGGGACACGGTTGGTGGCGCTCGCTTCCTCCGGCAGCCGGATGTACAGCGGGATTTCGGCGCCGTCACGGCCGGCGCGGTGCGTGTGCGGAATCACTTCCTCCGCGATAATGGGCCTCCATAGCGAGGCTGCTTTCAGGTACACTTGTTTCTGGCGCTCGAAGGCGGCACGCTTGATGGATGTCTCTGGGCGTGTTGATGGGCTTACGTAGGGGAAGCGCGAGATGCGCAGGATGACTGCTGCGCGGCGGTAGAGGTCCGCGGCGCGTTCAAGTTGGCCGTTGTTGAGGGCTGCGCTGGCTTCTTCCTCCAGGGCTGTTGCTGTTGGGAGGAAGGCTTCGGTGTAGGCGTCTGTGTCTGCGTCCTTGATGTTATCCTGTTGTTGTTGTTAGTCTTGGGGTTGTGATATATTCCAAGAATCTGGGGATGCTTACAGCGATTAGCTTTTCGAAAACGGGTTCAAAGTCTTCCAAGGATCCGTCGTGGAATGGGTAGATGGATTTCGTGGCCTGGTCAATTATACGTCTTAGCTTTCTAAATCTTTTGTTGTTTGGGAGAGACGTACGCAGAATTTCCACTTTGACTCCCACAGGACCTTAATCGACCCCTGGTGAGGGTAGACAGTGTCAAACTTGTCCCCGAGAATCCAATTCACCATGTTGAGAGGGGTATAGAAGTAAATTGATGGGTTTGATATTGCCTAGCAAGGGCTTTCCTTTGGTGAACTACAAATTCGAGGCATTTTGCGCTCTTTTAATTGACTTGCTACCGCCTATACTCGCTGGTAGCATCTATCACAAGAGGGAAACCAGAATGCTGTCCATTGAGACGCAAGCAGTAGGTGGATGTTGCCGCAAGCCCTAGATGAGACCGGATCGGCAGAGATCGGCCGATGGTGATCTTGGCAGCGCATGGGGTTGCTTCGAAGGTTTCCGGATGCGGGGGGTGACAGCTAGATGGCGAGGAAAAGGAAAAGGGATGCAGATCGGATTCCCAGATGTCTTCATTACCCCAATCTCGCTCTTGATTTCTCCTCGCAGGTTCTTGTGCGTGGCCTTTCTGATGTAGCTTCCGTCATTCCTCTAACCCTAGTAGCATCGAAAATGCCGGTCCGAAATGAACTAACTTCTGTTCTCAAAAGGATGAATAATGTCAATGAAGTGCTTTTCAATTTGTGTCTAGAAAAATAACATGAAACCCAATATTTAAACAAGAACAACACATTATTCAAATGGTAATCGGCCCTGATCCTACAAATGGCTCCTAGGGTCTCCTCCAATGACCTCACAATCGTCCAACATTCTCCAATTCAGTATGGAAATTTAATTAGATGTCAATTAGATGTTAGCTCCACCGTTACATGGCAAAATTTGACCTGCAAGAAATTATTTGAATTAGCAATATTCCTAGGGGTAAATTCAACATTCCAGGGACTCACCGTTGATCCATTCTCCAGCAGGACTGGCCAAGAATGCCACAATGCGGCCAATATCCGCAGGCACACCACAGCGCCCAAGGGGACTGCCATTAGCAAGCGCCGTCTCGATCTCCTCAAGGGACGAGCTCTGGTCACAGCCAGGCGCATAACGCCACGCGTTGCTCAACCACATATCACTCTTGACACCAGCAGGAGCAATCGCATTAACAGTAGCCCGCTTCTTGCCAAAGTCAGCAGCAAAGCAGCGAGTAAAACCCTCCACGGCACTCTTGCTGCCCGCATACAGCGAGTGGCCGGGCACACCCAGGCCCGCCGCAATGGACGACATCAGCACCACACGTCCGCCGGGCTGGATGTGGTCGTAGGCGTTCTTCGCAACGAAGAATTGTGCCCGCGTGTTGAGGTCGAACACAGCGTTGAAGTCGTCCAGCGTTGTCTCGGACAACGGAACGAACTTCTCCGTTCCGGCGTTCGACACAACAATGTCCAGCTGCCCAAAGTGCGAGACTACCTGGCGGAAGAGGTTTTGGATTGAGTCGACGTTTGTCAGGTCGGCTTGGAATGCCGCGCCGTGGACTCCCTGCGCTTGGATCTCTTGGACCACCCCGTCGGCGGTCTTCGAGCTGCTGGCGTAGTTGATCGCTACACTTGCTCCCTTCTTGGCTAGCTCTAGCGCAATGCCGGCTCCGATGCCTCGGCCACCACCGGTCACTAACGCGACTTTGCCGGCGAGCTCGGGCTGGGCAGCGTTGGGGTTTTCGACGACCATTTTGATGGTGGTTTTGATGTTGGTGGAGGTGAAGGATTGTAAATGAGTGAGTGTGGAATCGCGCTGGGAGTGCGAATTGTAGTCTAATATTGAATCGGGTGTTTTGGATAGTAACACGGAGATCCTGGCTGGAATCAGTTAAATGGCTTGGTTCCATCATTCATCTCCATTGCAAAGGCTGGGCTTTGTTTCCGAATTTGTCGGTGACATATTAAAATGGCAGCCATAGAGTCCACGTCAAGTCCTAAAACAGATTAGCTGCTTGCGAACAAGAACCCCAAATGATCTTGGTCTTACCTAGTACCGCATGCGGAAGGCCATGAGGGGTTGTATCCACCATCTGTCACATCAGAAGCTCTCGGTTGCATTGTTGCGTTCCCGCGCATGGGAAATATTCTGGCCAGATCCGGGGAATGCTGGTATCAGGGGAGTTTGTTGGAAGTGGACTTTCGATATACTCGCACGGCGCGCCTCGCAGCTATCATCAGAGCTCGAATTGTCTGCAGACAGCAAACATCGCTAGATAACGATAACCATGTCTCCTGCCGTAAAGAACATCACCGCTGAGCCCAACTTGGACATCAGCTTCCAGGGTTTGTCTCAATTCACCCTCATTCACCTGCCCGTGCTAACATCAACAGACTCCCTCATCCTGTCGAAGCTCGTTTTCGACTGGGCGGACAGCTATGATGCAAAGGTACATTTCCCATACCATTCAACGTCAATTCCACATTAGGACTGACAGTGTTCTAGGACTGGGACCGCCTCCGCAGCATCATTGCCCCAACTCTGACGGTCGACTACACCAAGATCGGTCTGAAAAGATGGGACAACATGGCCGCTGACGACTACATGGCCATGATCACCCACCCCGGCTTCCTGGGTGACAAAACCATCAAGACCCAGCATTTGCTTGGTCAGACATGGTGGGAGAAGATCTCCGATACCGAGGTTATCGGTCACCACCAGCTCCGTGCGGCGCACCAGGTCTACGAGACTGAAGCCTTGGAGACAGTCAAACTGCGTGGTCACTCTCATGCTACCAATGAGCACTACTATCTCAAGATCGATGGTATCTGGAAATTTGCTGGGTTGAAGCCGAATGTGCGCTTTGATGAGTTGCGCTTCAATGAGGTTTTCAAGGGACTTGACTAGGTATCCTTGGGACATGGGGTTTTGCGGAGAGGAATTGATATATTTGATATAGTCTCGGAATTCATTTTACTTACTTTCGATCTCTGAAATCGTTGTGCATGGCATCGCAAGAATTTCCAGTTATATTTAGTTACCTTTCCTACAACACGTGACTCTTGACTCTCTTGGCGTGAGATTCTGTAAGGATCGCATGGTTTCTATTGGATAGTACTAGCTAGGCCACAAAAGTGAATATAATTACATAATCGGTGGAGTCCTCGCTTTTAGACCAATAGAAACCCTTTCTCTCTATGCGCCCAGGACCACTCCCTGGCCCTGGCCAGCCTCAGGCATCAACTCCCTGTGGAGTGCCTGAGGCCACTAAGGGATGTTCGGGACGACATCCCTCCCCACTTGCCGTGAGACACCGCCCTCGGTGTCTCTATATAGAGCCGATGATATTTCCTAATCCGGTAATATATAGCTCCCTAGTAGGGTGATGCTCTTGCTTATCAAGTCCTATAACAATCTGCAACTGTTTGCTTATAGCAAGTACAATCTGCCTGGCTTTGTTAAATAGTAGTGATTGTTTGCCCTAGTCGAGGAGCGGACGGTGGAGCAAACGGGGAATTTAGGGTATATAAACCCCTTCTCCCTCCTCACTAGGGCTCTCTTCTCTTTCTCTTCAGACACCCACTAGAGCCCTACTGCCCGTCCTATCCCTTCCTCCTAAGTCGTCCACTTGTCTACTATGGCCCCTATTCTCACCTCTAGGTAAGGGATCCTCGCTTCTTCCGTTGAGATTGATACTAACTTGCTAGGTGAAGGTTTAGGATAGCTCTCTAGGTCTTAAGCTCCGGTTCCCTAGCCCACTAGGAAGCTCCCGGAGCCACTAAGGTGTCTACTAGTGGTGAGGAACGGAGTGACCTCTCCCTCCTTCCGGAAAGTGAGCCTAGCTCCCCCGGGGGTGAGACTTCTCTCGGCGGAGACGAAGGGGGTAGTGCGTATCCCCTCTTCCCTTACTCCTTAGTTAGTAACTAACTTATTAATCTAGGCGAGTTCGACTCCGTTAACGTCGATGCCTCTAACCCCTCTCGCTTCCCCCTCGGTCTCGATAAAGAATTTAATATTCTCCTTAACGGTCTCCCGTCTAGCCTTTACTAGCGCCTTATAGCTGCCTCCCTCGAATAGGATACCTAGGTACTTGACTAGCCCGTAGTCGATAGTAAGCTATAAGTGCGGGATATAAGTTTAGATAATTCTAACCACGTCGCGGGAGCACTTAGCTAATTACTTAGTCTTACACTTTCTCCGGTCGATACTTACTCGCGCTACCGTTCTTCCCTCTCTTCTATCTCCTTTTCTACTTATCGAGTCTCTATATTCACTTTTAAGGGTCGAGGAGAAGTTATTTACTTAGGGTCGTGTATAAACTACTTATTTTCTAGTATAGGGAAGCGTTACTCTCTTCGTATTAACTAGCCTATTACCGCTTCCCGCTTCCTCTAGAATTATATTCCTAATTTCTACTACCCCTCCCCCTCTTCTATCGCCTTATCGGGGCCTATTATACCTTAGTAGAGTGCTCGCCGTAAGCGTCCCCGTCTTATTAAGGAAGTAGTGTCTCCTATAGAGGAAGTTAAGTCGGTTAATACTATAGAGAAGTAAACTAAGGGTAGAGAGTAGGTTAGTGTAGAAGAGGACCGCTTCCTATATAACTCTATTTTAACCCCTAATCTTTTTAATACTCCCTCCTCCGAACTCTCTACCCTTTTCTAATAGCTTCTTATTCGCCGGGCTTACGCCCTAGATATAGTTAAGGTGATAGATATAGACCTTCGTGCTTTATCGAATCGGTTAGAGTAGCTTACTTAGGGGTTAGTCCGTTATAGTACTCGTCCCCCTACTCTATAGAGTCCCTAATTCGTTTTCTTTAGCTTCTCTCTTTATTTCCTACTAATATAGATAGTTCTTACTAATAATTTTCCTTATAGAGAGTAGAGAGTAGCCTATAATAGTAGTCTTTATAGTATATAGTAGTCCTCGATTATACTCTTTTCCCGGTATATCGACTCTAGCTCCTTATCTTAGGAGCTTAGTAGGTATCTTCTTACTCTACGGAAGAGATATAGGGCTTCCTATTACACTTCCGGAGCGTCCTCTATATACGTGTCCCCTTCCTTACCTCCTCCTATAAGTATACTATTCTTTAGTAAGTCGACTTCTCCTACTATTTACCGGCTAGGTTTAGTATCCTCGACTTCTTCTACCGCTTACTAGGTAGGCTATACCGCGAGAGGGATCTTTTCCCGATCTCCGCTCGCTAATAATAACCCTTCGGTCTCTAGGGACTCTTACTATCCGCCCTATCCTAGTTTAGTTATTTCTAGGTCTCTATAGACCTCTATCGCCGCTCTAGCGATACCGCCCGGACTCTTTCGCCGAGTCCCGGCTTCCTACGTATCCCGCGCCTATTATAGGTCTCTATAGACCTCTATCGCCGCTCTAGCGATACCGCCTAGACTCTCTCGCCGAGTCCTAGTATCCTACGTATTATACGCTTATCGTTTCTACTTACTAGTTATAGCTTTCTATATAACGTGTTTAATCGCTTCTTCCCTCCCTACTAAGCGAGAACGTACCCCTAAACGTTCTACCTCTCGCTATTTAGCCTACGAGATTATAGAGAGCTCCTAGTAAGACGGAGGCTCGCTAGAATTAACGTTAACTAGCTCCCTACCGTCGAGCGGGTAGCGTATATCGAGCTCCGCTCGCTATAAGTAGTGCTTCCCGCCGGAGGACGTCTATAACTAATTAGGGTTATTAACCTATACCTTTACTAGCCGTCGGCCGTTAATTAAGTTACGAAGTACTCGGCCGCCTAGCTCCGCGAGCGTATACGTCCCTAGGGGGTGGCTCTTTAGCACTTTATAGGGCCCGAACCACTAAGGCTCGAACTTCTACTTTATCTTATTCCTAATAAGCACCTAGGTGCTAACCTCTAATAGCTCCGAGGCCGTTACTAGGTTATCCCTAATTCGCTCCGTACGAATCGCTTTCCGGAGTAGCCGCTCGTTCGCCTCTACCCGGGTATAGTTCACTACCTAGATCCGGGCGTCTAAATTAGCGATATTATAACCTAGTGTCAGCCGGAATTACCCTTATCCCACTCTATCATTTTTATATTTACTTTCTAGATCTAGTAGCCACCTAAGGTATCACTTACTAGAGGACTTAGAGGATCGGCACTACTTTATAAGCCTATACGGGGATAAATAGTCGATCACTTACTACTCCTTAGAA